AGCGAGTTCGAGGATGGCGCTGTTTTTGCCGGCCACACCGGCGTTGCTGAAGAAGATGTCGAGGCGGCCGTAGGTGGCGACGGCGAGGTCGACGGCGGCGGCGAGGTGGAGTTCATCGCGGACGTCGCAGTGGACGAAGGTGCAGCGACCGGGGGGTGGGATGGAGCCGGCGACGAGCTGGCCTAGGGAATCGTTTATGTCGGCGATGAGGACTGCGGCACCGTTGGAGGCGAAGAGGCGGGCGGTTGCTTCGCCGATGCCGCTGGATCCGCCGGTTATGATGGCTACCTTCCCCTCCAGCCTCGGCTTGTCGGAAGCCATCTGATCTCTCTGTTTCTCTCTGTTTCTGGCTATTCCGGTGATCAATGGCGAGAGCTTCATTGTTATATAGAGCCGGGGAGGCGGAGACTGGTCAAACTGCCACGTGGATCGGACCAAAAAATAATTGACTTTGGATATTTTTTATTTTATTTCCACTACGAATTCTACATAAATGTGAAAAAAAAAAAATTAGGCACATATCACATAAATTTTATATATTTATTAGTATAATATTTAAATTTTAAGTTTTGTATTTGTAACATTTAATGTATATTTATATTAATTTTTTGAAGTTAATAATGAAAATAATGTTTATGTGATTTAAATAAATAATTAAGCAAATAGATAACGTATTTAATTCTATAAATAATAAGTCATAATTCTAAAATCAAGTAATTCTATAAATTGAATCGTGTTGAATAAAAGATAATAATAATGTTTAGGTTTGATTGTGGAGCAAATATTGTGTCTGCTCTTCGTTCCAAGTCCTCTATTTCTTTCTATGAAACAGAGCTGCACGCATAGTTGTGTGGGCGTGCATGTAATACTTTTCCCTGACAGTGAGGATCGTACACAAGCTAGATAAAGCTTGTAAAAAGAAGAGGAACCATACTTTTTTTTAAGAGAAATGATGAAACATGGAGCCACAAATAGAAAGAAAAAAAGAAGATCCCTTATTTAGTGGATGACCTCTCTTATTTAATACGTCAAACACCCCACATAAGTGTATACATAAGTGGCTACACCTACAAAGTTAATACATTAAAATAAAAGTATCATGTAGTTGTGTGTATAGTGTATTATAAACGATAGTGTTATTCGTAATAAGGCAAGTGGAATAAGTTAACTTATAATATTTATGAGATACACTATAAGGGAATGTAAGGTACTTGACCCTCTCTAGAAACTTCTCTTATTCTTTATCAAAGGGATAATGTATGGATTGGTTTTACTATGATGGATTAATGGATTCCTATCAGGTTTCTCTCTCTTGTTATCATTTTTGTATTCTCCTCTAGTTTTCTCTTCTTCCTTCCAATATCTTTATGGTATCTATGCTTCAAGCTCAAGTCCATTCGAGCTTCTCTATCGATCTGGGGCGACGCTTGTTCAAGGGCAAAATCGACCGGCTTCTTCAACCCGAGCAGTAGATGGGCTCCAACCAAACAACGATCGATCGGTTCCCTCTATTTGGGTTGTTTTTGGTAATATCTAAAGGGATGTCTACCTCAGAAACTTTAGAAAACTTCAATCAATCGTCAATGCAGTTGAATACCTCAATCTCTATCCCTCCTCTCAAATTTCTAATGAGCAACCTAATACACTTTACTCAAAACCGCCTCTCCGCTAACAATTATCCTATAGGGAAGGCTCAAGTTCGGAAGGTGTTCACTGCAAATGAGTACCTAGAGTTCCAGAATGGAAGCTCTCCATGCCCACCGCAATTTTTGATTTAGTGGCTGATTCACAGATTCATAATTCACAATATACTGCAAGAGTTTTGCTTTATCAAAATCTTACAACAACACTTTAATCCATTATCTCTACACCAATTCTTCCTTATGTGTCGCATCTTTCATCGATCGTTGAGATTTGACATACTATTTCTAAGAGATTACAACCAACAAACCGCTCCAGACTCATCGAGTTGAAGAACTCCCTTCGTACCATCTTGATGAACAACCAAACCATGATACAATATTTATCAAGTGTCAAAGCTCTAATAGACAACATTGTTTTTGCAGGAGGAAAACTAGATAAAAAGGATATAATCCTTTATACACTCAACAAGCTTTCATCTACCTTTCAAAGCTTCAAGACGACAAAATGGACTCAACTACAGCCCACCGACCTCGACTACTTCAGATCAATATTGTAAGCGAAAATCAGAAACTTGACCCCTCTTCTCAACCCCATGTTGCACTCGTGGTAAGAAGATGTTCGTTAACCTATTCTTCACGTGGTCGAGGTCTAGGTACTATCGGAAGTCGAAACCATACCAAAGGGTGTCGAAATGCACAACGAGCATTAGTCCACGTCTGTAACAAATACAGACACTCGGTAGCTTCATGTTAGCACCAGTTAAACCTAGAGGATGTACCTACCAAGCAAGCCTTATAAGCATCGACCTCGAAAGAATAGTTGATGAAGTCACTCATACTTGTTGAATTAACATGTTGAACAAATTTGATGAATTAACTAGGTGAATTGTGTGACAAGTTGGCTGAGCTAATATTTGGGATGTTAAAAAACCTAGTCTGTTGGATTTAGTTAAGGGAGGTTGTCGAGCTACATTGCCAAGATGATCGAGTTCAATTATCGTCTTATGTTTTCCCCAAATATTCAAGGAATATTTTAATCCCATCACGTGCCTATATTATCTCGTGCTTAGAACTTGGTCACATGACTTCTATGGCTATACAATACCATATTACAATTTAACTCATAGTAATCATGAAACCCTTGGAAAACTATAAGCCAGATTTGTCCAACAAATGGTATTGAATATATATATTAATTTACTAATAACACTAAACTATTAACCACACAGGTTTATTATTTTCATTTGTCTGTGTGAATCATGGAATTTTCTTGGGTTATCTTATCTCATCATTGATATGTTTAATTTAAAAAAGATATAATTTAAATAAGATTCATCACAATGTATCATTTATATGTGAATAAATTTCCTGAAAGGATTTTTGGAAATTTCTCTTATAGGAATCGTTGATAATATGAAGGGACTTTCTTACTTTAAGAATTTAAGAACATTATTATAAATATAGTGATAACTTGTGTAATTTATTTTAAAATGTTTTTTTTTATTTGAATAACTTTTAAGATAGTAATATTAAAGAGTTAAAATTCAGTTGAGCTTAACAATATTATTTTATAAATTAGTAATTTTAAAATGGATATTTTAACATGATTTATTAATGATGAGATGTTTTTATTAGGAATAAAACACTTGATTGCAAAATAATGAGTGATATTCATTCATAAAATGATGCTACATTGTTGAATCCTTTAAAGACTTAGGTTCTAGTGTTGTTTTTGAGCTTATACAACCTCAAAGAGATCTTACTTTTGGGTGGAAAATAATTGAAAAAAGGAGAATAGAGTGGGAAAACTCTCATCTTATCTCAAGCTTACAGGAGAACAAGACGAGGCTTGATAGGGGGATGAGAGCCAATTGGAATGATAAGAATGGTCCCCCCTCTTCCCTCGTGGTGGGAGGTATACTTAATCCCCTCCCCCCCTCCTCTCCTCTCGCTCAAGTGATGGAGAAAATAAGAAATACAAAGCTTGGATCGCACAATATGAGGCATGTTCATAATGTCCTTTAACAAGATGAATGTTAGGAGATTTTAGGTAGACGTGGACATATATTCGTCAATGGGTGTTTCCTTTCATATATACCATTTATGATACTTGAGGAGTGATCATGGAAAGTTCGATAGAGTGCTTCAGCAACTGGTGCAGGACAACTGAAAGAACAAGAAGTGACGTCGATAGGTCATCGCGATAGATTACTCTAACAACTGGTAAAGAATAGTTGACAAGTTAGGTAGAACACCTCGACTAGATACTTCAGTTGTTAGTGTTTTATGGTATTTGAGATTTACAAAGAATGAATCCTCCAAGCCCAAAACCTACTTTTTATAAGCAAAATCCCATGAAAGCTACTTATGGGTATACATTTAGTTTCTTGATTTTCTTAACTCTTAAATAATATATTATGAGGAGTAAAAGAATAAAGAAAAACTTGCTACTTATTCATGTAACAAAAAATTTTTTTGATAGTCACTTATGTAGAACTAGGCCAAAACATGATAAAATGTTGAATCAACTTATTTCAAAATCGCACCTAACACCCTGAAGCTTTATTGGGTACACCTATAGGGAGTCGTTCAAAAAACAAATGACTGAGTTTGGACTTTCCTTCTCCTAGGGACAATTTTACAGTACCTATAGGAAGTAGTCGCTAGAACTTCCTGGTATGTATGAACTAATAATCTCTTATGGGCCTTAGCTTTTCAATTATGGAAGTCATTTGTCTGTTTGATATAGCCTGCATGAGGCATTTAAAGGCCTGGACGGTCAATTATTTCTAGTAAAGACACATACTTCTGGATGGAAGTAGAGCATGAATTATAAAAGTAGCTTTTATAGAATGAAAGGATATGAAAATAGTTGAATTGAATAGTGGCAACTGTAAATACATCGGTTGTGGAATCATTTCAAGCGTTAAATCTCTGTTCTATATATAACCACTGTATGAGCTTTGCAGAGGTTCCTTTTAACTGTTCTTATTTCAATGAGAAAGATTGATGGATTATATTTGTCGTGGGCAAAAATGAGAGAGTCATTCCAAAAAGGATCAAGATCTTTAGAAAGGGGAGATATTTGTAGGTTTATAGACTGCTAGAGCTAGGGCTTCTTAAGGTTGTTCTTCACAGGATGCTTTGTTGATGAATACCATTCAGGTTAATCTGAAAGGTATTGCCTCAGGCATTCTGCCAACAATATCTTTTTATGATCTTCTACTTTTGGAACAAATTTTTATCGATCTGAATGATGCTTTGGTAGCGTGTATATATGACCTCCTCGGTGAATAAATGTAAAGAATGAGAAGAGAAGTTTTAGAGTTTGTTTGGGAGAGAATACACGGCGTGTAACAATCGGCCTTCGTAGCCCCCAGCTTCCATTGACCGCCTGTCTCACTAGCCGCAAACCACCGTCGATCATTGCTCATTGTCACCAATTGTTATTTCAAAGTACAGACTATCACAACCAATGCTTGCAACCATTATTTACAGATTACAACTATTTTTGAATTTTCTAATACTTTCTTTTTAGCTATATAAATATATACAAGTGTAGTTTTCCATATAACCATGCACATTCTCTCTGTCGTGAGAAAAGAACATGCTTCTCTACTTACAAACATGCAATGGATTATTTTAATTGGGCCAAACCCAATGATTTTTTTTTTCGGAGGTTTTCACGTACTAATATTGTTGTCTTATCACGCAACTTTTCTCTTTTCTATGTATACGCTGGATAATTGTGTAATACTGAGACGTTAAATTATCACTTTAGTGTCACAAAACTTCTAAAACTAAAAAAAACTTTGTTTTGTTACACCAATTTTTTAAAAAACGAAAAATTCGGTTTTTATAATATAAAGAGCAAATTTTAATTACAATATAAAGAGAAAATGAAAAACAAATTTGAATCATATATTTAGTTTTGGCATTTTAGTTTTCGATTTAATAAGCTTATCTATTTCACACCCACCGAGCCATTTAGGGGCTTGTTTAAGCTCAAACTCATTTACAAAAAAATATGTTCAAAGTTACCTCGAGCTCGCTTCAACATTTTAAGATTTTGTTCAAACTCGGCTCATTTAAAACTTATATTGTTCAAACCCGATTCAAACTCAATTAATGGAGTGACCCATTCAACTCTTTTGGAACAAAGCCTGAGTTTCTAGTAGAACTTTTATTGGGTCATAGTCAACATTTAAAATTGTACATAATGATAACTTAAATAAATCAAAAATAGCTTAATAAAGTATAGAAGACCAACTTTCTATTTATAAGCTCCCGAAGCAAGCTGAAACACAACCCGTCCACCTGCTGCCGTTGAATTGATCAGAGTCGCATTCTTCGGCTTGACATTTAAAAAGCAATGTCAATGCATTAATTCTTTGTTTTTGAGACATTTGAAGGAATTTAATTATTTTTTAGTTAATAAAACAGAAAATAAAATTAATTTTTATTTTATTTTATATAAATTTATTCTTTTTTATTTACAATTTATATTAAATTTTTAAATAATATCAAAGCTTGAATGGAGCACCAAAACTGCTTTGTTCACGAGTTTTAAATGATTTTGTTCATGATAATAATCGAATCAAACAAAGAGGTATGTAAAGTTGCTCATGTAATAATCGAGTATCCAAAGAAGTGTTTAAGCTCGTTTGACCATGTGTACATCAAAAGTACCAGCACGAAACTCAATGCCCTTAGACGGCCCAAACGTCCACAGAGGTCGGGCAGATTGAACGTCCTACCTTACTACCATCGTCCTGACAGGGAAAATTCGACCGGTCTCCTGCGGTGAGAGATTCTAATGGTGGACCACGCCTGCAATCCTGACTGACCATGGCGCATGTAAGAGAACCCAATTGCAGTAGACCGACCGATCCACGACGAAATGAGATCGTCGTGCTGCCAAGCACCTTGACCGACCGCATGTACGTAGGGGGCACAATCGTCACTCGATCGGTCGTCTCAGAGCTTGTTTGCGGCGGAGAGGGTGGCGCGGTGCGAATCAGAATCGCAGTTCCGAGTCATTTGTGAAGGAGAAGCGACGCGGTGCATGTGTTTTTTTCGGCGTTCTTAACGAAAACACAGGCAGTGGGTTCAAATGGTTAAGCGACGCGGTGCATGTGTTTTTTTCGGCGTTCTTAACGAAAACGCAGGCAGTGGGTTCAATCGGTCTCTCACGGTGAGCGACTTTAATGGCAGACCATGCTTGCGGTCCAGACTGACCAGGGCGTACGTAAGAGCACCCAACCGCAGCAGTCCGATCGATCCATGACGAAATGAGATCGTCGGCGGCCAAGCACCTCAACCGACCGACATGTACGTTGAAGGGCACAATCGCCCCTTGCCGGTTGTTTCAGCAAACCGATGTCAAACCAGTTGGCCAACCGATCACCATCATAATTGAAATTCAAATTATAATGCAAATATGACCTGAAATCCATACAAAAAAAATAATGATTTAATCACATAAAGAGCGATTTTCATAACTATTCCCTCATTTATGCAATTTTACAAAATGCATCCTCATAAACAGAGAACAAAAATGCAAATAAAGGTGACTGAACTCTTGCGACAAGGAATTCTGGGCTTACTCAACTCTCTCTCATCTTTCTCTTCTTCATTTAGCTCTAACTCCCGAGGCATGCCGACAAAAGACAATCCAAGATCCAACAAACCACATATATAAATGAACATAAGCGAGCTATAAACGAACGAGTAATAAGTAGCTTAAATTTTATGGGTAGATTCTTAAAATTTTGAGTGAATAATGGGCAAAAATCAAAATTTTTAGTGAATGGGGCACAAATTATTAATTTCAAAAAAGCCTCAATTTGTTTCATCTTGACATAGGATGATATTGATGATTTTATATTTTAAAATTTTAATTTAAATTTGATAAAAAAATACTTATAAAAGTATAAAAAAATTATTTGAAATTCTGTCTGACCATTTTATAGCAGGTATGAGATACATATATTTTTTATTTATAGTACTATTTATTAATCATTTATTTTAAAATGTATAAGTTATACAAATAAATCATTTTATTAATATAGTAAAGCATTATACAAACGCGTTGAAAATCTAATATAATTAGGGTTGTCAAAACGGCTCGTTCTTCACGAACAGCTCGTGTTTGGCTTGTTAAGAAGCTTGTGTTTGGCTCGTTCGCTAAGTTGACGAGCCGAACACATACAATATTAACAAATATTTGTTCGTTTGTGTTTGACTCGTTTTGGCTTGAAATACTACTAATCAATTATATAGATATGTCTTTGATGAATAGTTATTTTTAAAAATTTAATTGACTAAAGGCTACAAAGATTTATAATCAATTAAAAGTATCAATGAAGATAATAGAATAAAAATGATTAAATTAGATTCAAATTATGTTTTAAATCTTGCCCCAATCATACACATATGATGGCTACGTTATTAGGGTTGTAAAAATGACTCTTTGTTCACGAACGACTCGTGTTCGGCTTGCTAAGCAAATGAGCCGGACATAAACACACTTTTTGTTCTTGAAATATAAACGAGCCGAACACGAGCTGAGCCTGGGCTCGCTCTTGTTTGGCTATTTGACACCCCTAAATATAACTTATAACTAAAATTTTAATTTAATTTTGTTGAATCCAAATTTGTCAAGGAGGCAAACTCAAGGTAGAGAGCATCACAAATGCGAGAGTAGAAAATGGGTAACCATCTTTCAAAAATTGACCCCCTATTTATATACATGATGATGTATAGATTGAAGATTACGTTTATGTCCTCTATTCATTAAATTTGGGAGAGTAATTTTATTACATTATACATGTGTCAGATATATATTCGATGGTGGAGATTTACCTCGTGCGATGGATCATTACCGGTCGATGCGCCTAAGGCCGATCAGTTCGCCTCAGGTCGATGGTTCGCCTTAGATCAATCTGTTAGATTGTAGCCCTTTATGGGATCAGGAATCACGTTGTGAATCAATCGATTTTAGGTTAAGTTGAACAAATTTCTTTGTTGTGGTTTGGGTGGATGATAACGAGTCAGTTGAATCCTTTCATTTGTCATTATCGTTTTTAGTCGTTGGATTTCTTTGAGATTTGTGCTGACATATTTGTGTATACAATTTTAAATAAAATATGATTTAAAATGAATTAAAATTAAAATATTTTTTATAACATCAACTAAAAACAATTTAAAATTAATTAAAATTAAAAAAAAAACAATTTAATGCTCATGAACAAATTCATTAGAACGATCGAGTAAAGCTTGATTTTGGCTTAAAACTTGATATAAAATATAATTAAAATATAACTTAATTTAAATAAAATCATATTAAAAACTAATTTAAAATTAAAATAGTTTTTATATTATTAACATAAAAATATTTAAATCCACTATAATATTTTTATTTAATACAAACAAATTTTGGGAAAAAGTAAATGTAAATTAATAAAATAAAATAAGAATGCAAAAAATGTTGAGCTAGCCGAGTTAATTGTAAATTGAAATTTAGGTGTTCCGCATGTAAATACATGGGAATAGAGTGGCATGTATGTAGATGCCTCCACTGTATCTTTTCAGTTTCCGGGCGTCCAATCTTTACTAGGGGTGTAAACGAGCCCAACACGAGCGAGCCATGCTCAGCTCGTGTTCGGCTCGTTTATATTTCGAGCTCAGAAAGTGTGTTTGTGTTTGACTCGTTTGCTTAACGAGCCAAACACGAGCTGTTCAAGAACAAAGAATCCTTTTAACAACCCTAATCATGTAGCCATAAGACAATAAGAGTTTGAGCAATATTTAAAAATTATTATTTATATTAAAACATCATTTGAATCTAATTTAATAATTTTTATTCTATTTTCTTAATCAATATTTTAATTGGTTATAAATTTTTGTAGCCTTGTAGTCAATTAGATTTTTTTAAAATACTACTTTATATATATAGAGCCAAAACGAGTCGAACACGAACGAACACATCTTAGTTCGTGTTCAGCTCGTTAACTTATCGAACGAAATTAACGAGCCGAACGCGAGCTTCTTAACGAATTGAACACGAGTTGTTCGCGAACAACGAACCGTTTTAACAGCCCTAATCCTTACCGCCATTTAGTCCCACATTGGAAAAATTCAATTGTATCTTTTCAGTTTGCGAGCATGCAAGCTTTACCGCCATTTAGTCCCACATTGGAAAGACTTAACAGAGATTGCTCTTAAAGGAAAAAGCATAGCTATCTAACGGCCAATAATTTAATTGTGTTTTTTGGATTTTTCATTATATATTAAAAATTAATTTTAGATTTTAAATAACTTACATTAATGAAGTCTCATAAGTTATAATTTATTTGCTGTTTGAATAAATACCGCCTTATTTGCATGTAAATTTGTTGATGTGCAGCCCATTGGCTCTTTAGACATATCTAATCACATATATATGGATTTTAGTTGTTGGACCAACATTTAAATCTTATTATTTATATAAAAAAAAATTTAAATAAAATTTAGTATATTTTTACTCTATTCTTTTAATTAATAATTTTAATTAATTATATATTTTTGGAGTTT